TTTAAAATATAATTTATATTGGAAAAAAAGTATTACATTTTATAGTCTTTAGAGAAAAAAAAAGAAAATATATTCAAAAATTTTGAATTGTTTTATGAAACGGGTTCTGAACAATCCGCAATCAGTAAAGAGTTCTGAAAAGGTAAGAACTTGTATTTTAAGAATACAAGAATGTCACAATTTATGATTTTTAGTTCTTAATAATTTCAAGTTATCATAAAATATATATCAAATTTAGTCTTTTATCAGTCATACGCCATGAAGATTTTTAAAAAACTCTAAAATCGTAGCATACTTTAAGGCAAATGAACTAAACTCAATATCCGGAGCTCCCAGAGAGTTGAACATCCCCTCCATTTATTTGTTTAATCTTAAATGTCATCCTCGTTGGCAACAAGCCACCACGAATTCCACAAACGCCACTTAGCTTAATTAGTTTGCGATGATTAATTGAGAACTTTGCCCCACTGTGCCCCACTGTCGATGACAAAATCAAATTCTAATCGCCGCTCCGCTATCATAATGTATTTATGAGTACGTATGTTTTTTCCTCATTTTTTTTTCGAGGCACACGTATACGTAATTTACTTGGCGTTCTAGACGTAATGCGTCCATATACATATATAGATATATGCATGTATTTATTTGGTATTTGTTTGTATTTGATATGTGGACGGTTGGCTGGTGGGTCGGTCGGTCGGTGGGGTGGTCGGGTGGCGTATATTTGCCCCTGATAATCGCGCCTGCGACGACAAAACTAATTACAACAAAAATAAGGCAAATACTGAGGTAACATTGCAATCAAAAAAACAAAATATATATATGTATACATATGTCTTATCAAAACAAAGAAAAAAAAAGCTTGTGCCAGAACTGAAGCAAAAGACCAAAATAACACACACACCAATTTGAATTCTCTTTATTTTCGCCTTTTTTTTTGTATTTTATGTTGTTGTTGTGTTTGTGTGACAAATAAATACATTGGAGATATGTTTCAGTGTATGGGTGTTTGGCCGTTTAATACTATAATTCACAAAATCGTTCAGTTCAGTTCGCGCTGGTGAACGCAACGGAAAAGTCATACTCGTCGGCCGGCATCGTCGCCTGTTGATTTTCTAATTACTACGCGGCTCGTTTTAATTTTTTTTTTCGGTTTTGTTTTTGTTTTTATTTGTAACTCTACAAGCAATGTGAAGAATAAAAAATTAAAACATAAACAAAACAAGAACAACCAAAGGAGACAAAATAATAACAAAATACAGGAGGAAAGCCGATCAAAGAGACAGCATTTAAACCAAAAATAAAGCGTACGGCCTAAAATATCTTTATTTTGTAAAAAAATGTATATATATATATATAAATGTATCTTTTTGTGTATGTGTGAGCACGTGTGTGGGCTCGAGTGTCTTGGGATTTTAGTTTAGTCTAGCAATTAGCACTAGAGCATTAGACTAATTTTTTGGTTCAACCAAAGCGCGCGCTTTTTGCGAAGACACGTGCAAAAAGTGGCAATACTCTAAATAAGAATATGCATAACACTTGAGACTTGGGGGATAATATAAATTTAAATATATATTGGTAATATATCTTTCCATTATATAAAATAAAGCTAAAGTGTTGTACAAAAACATTTCATCAGTTGGTAAGATTGTTTTGTTTTCAAAAACATGTCATACATTTCATCAGTTTTGAAATAAAAATACTTTTGGTAATCTTTTTTGATAGGATTATATATTTTCTTGTTTTTGTTTAGATTTGAAAAATTCTTTTCCCCTAGATTTTACCATTTAATATCTGATCTAAGTAAAATATAAAGTAATACAAAATCAATAAATTAAATAGGGATTTACGGTTTGGATTAGTAGGTAAAATGAGAACAGTTTACTGCAATTTATTTGTTTATTTTTGAAAATAAAGTTTAAAAAATGTTTATTTGCTTCATTACACTATATGAGAAGCAAGTAGGAGGACATTTCCTTTTTATTTATTTTATTTAAATATATTATTATTTACAAAAAAAAAAAAACAAGATACTTCAAATTGTGAGAATCGAGGAGGAAGGTGAATTACTTTTTATGGCAATTTATGATATGTGATTATTTGAATAACCACAAAAAAGACTTACAAACAAAAAGAGTATGACTTTTGCAGGTTAATCGCCAATAAACTTTGGCTTTATGAAAGGCCATTTGGGCTATAATGGCTTATAAAAGATATAAGTAAAAGGAAAAAATATTAAAAAGTAAATAAACAAAATATTTATAATTTTAATATTCATGGAATGAACACAAATAATAAAGTGATGAATAAACCATTTTGTCAAACGAGCCCTTAGAGTATTTAAATACTTTTCTGATAAACAGAATTTCACAATTTTTCTTTTTTTTAAATACAATTTTTCAATTTAAAATTTCATTCGAGTTCTTTTCATTCTTGTTTTTTATGAGTACATACGTGATGTGCCACCGACTATCAATCAAAACATCAATCAAAGTCGTTCTCCTCTCGAAAAGTAGTGTGATTACGTTTTTACAGAGCCGTAGCCGCAGAGCCGTATACAGTGGCTGCCAAAAGGCGTCTGCCAGCCACCACAGATCGTAAATGTTTTTATGACCGTCATGCAAATACTCTTTTTTTTTATGGGGTGCCAAGATGGCCAGGTAGCTTTGTTAGCCAGGGGGATCGTATAATAAGCGGAAAGCTCTAATTATACCCATGTTTGCTTTTGGCTTCAAAAATCTTAAAGTATTAACTCAAAAAAAAACCAGAAACAACAACAATGCGTGTTAATCCAACAAGTACTTGCTTTTGTATTTTATAATCGTATATACACTTCAAGTTTTTAAAGTTCTTTCACGACATTTCTATATCTACGTATTATACCCCTCGGCCCCTCGTAATGCTAATCGCGGAATTTATAATTGCGGTAAAAATATAGCTTTATGTTCCAGTGGATGTCAGTGTAAATATTTATTTTCTTGCTGTTTAGTGGCTTTATCATACTTGCTAGAGGTTTGAGTTGACATTAGTATTATTAAGTTGGAAATTATTTAAATAAAAATATGAATAGAATAGCTAAAAATAATAAGTTAACAAAATTCCTTTTTTTTTTTTTAAATCTGAACCCCTCTCCGCGCTTCTCATGAAGTGTCATAAGATGTACAAAATGTGTCAAGTACAAGTTTAATTTTTCTTACTTCAATATTTAGAATATTAAGGGGTATTATAAGATAAAGTAAGTAGTAATATTAATTCTTCGTATAAAACTGCCTTTTAAGTAATGGTTTTAAGACTTAAAGATACTTCTCAAAGGTAGGTAAGGTATAGAAGTAGTCTCGAAGGTATTATAGGCACAAAAAGTCTCAGGCCCTTAAATCCAAAGCCTAAAACCAAAAACTAGGTCAACAAATATTTATTTTTCCTATGAATTACAAAAAATTGAGAAATAACTATCACGTGTATCTACTTCTGGAAGCCACGTGCTTGATGAATATATACATATAATTTTTTGATCGATTGATGAACCGCATTTGAAATATTCCATAACTCTACTCTGATACTCACTGATACCCAGCCGATAACGAGAAAGAGCTGATTCACTTTTGGACTTCTGAAGGCTTAAGGTCAATTAGCAGCAATTATAATGTGGGCATGCGGTTGGTTTAATATCGGAACTGAGATAAACGAGAGTCAAAAGTCTAAACAGTGTGTGCACCATAATAAGTGTTTACTGTTGATTGCCGTCGTATAATTAAAGCATTGTAAAATTGATATTTGATATTTGTTTCGTTATTTTTAATGGTCTGACAGAGAACGACCTTTAATACTAGTAACTTATACACATAACATACGTTTGTACAGTATATATCGGCGAAATGTATAGCGAACTTTGTCTGGGAATCTTATCTCCTGCCACGAACCCATAGCCATATGTTTTTAGTGGTCATTTGTGAATCGAATCGAATGGAATCGGTTTGTCGTTTATTCGGTTCGTTGGGATCACTCACAAGTCAGTCAGTCAGTCAGAGTCCGATAAAGCAAGTAAGCAAGCTAGTCAGAGCAAGCAAGTGACAAAAACAATACGGAAGCTATCTTATAAAAATTCTTCTAATTAACAAAAGTATTTCTAATTAATTAGTGAGCTAGAACGACGATGTATTGAAGATGAAATATGTTTATAAAATAAATATACAGTTGGTATTACTGCTAATTAAATGTCTGATTTTAAATAAAATCATCAAAGAACCAATCATTCTTTTATTGTTTTTTTTTGAGTGTACATATTTCCATCGTTGTGTTTTACAAAAAAAAATTATAATTCATTTATTCGTTCAGTTTTAATACAATTTTCTAATTTTTTTTTCTAATTTTTGCCAGTGGACCTGGGCCCCCCTCTAATGATTCCGTCTTGAGAACCTCGTTTGTTCCTTAACAACGTGCTGGGTTGGTAGTCAGCTAGGCATGGGGATATCTATATCTGGGTTGGGCAACAATATAATTAGAAGATATCGCCCGAGTGGGTCTTATCACATGGCCCGAATATTATTGCAGGTGCCCCCATCGAAAATGATCTCATATAAAACCCAATACGCCGCCAGACCTCAAGACCTCCAGACCCTGGGCAGTTGTTGATATCTGGAAAATACCGAAGGCGCTTTATATCTCAGTTCCTTTGTCGCTAAAGTATTTACGAGTATGTTATACTTTCAACTCTCGGATCGTAATGCTCTCTGAAAGATAATGCTCAGTTTTTTCTTTCCATGTCTGAGACTCTCTTGCTTTCTTGGCCACAATCGGTTGTATATTTATAAGTATATGTATTTGTATTTGGTGCTAAATTGTTGTTATTTACTTAGTTGTTGCTTTTTGGCAGTCACGTTTCCAGGCCTCAAAATATCTTAAAAATTCCGAGAAAAAAAATACAAGAGTGAGAGTTAGTCCAAAAAAAGTGTAATACTGTCAGCTCGATCGGTCAGTTGTATTTTGGACTTTCATTCTGGTGTATCGCTTAGCTCTTTTATAAATAAATACAAAATCAAATTAAAAAATAAGAATCTGAAAACTCAATTGATTCGCAAACAAGTGTCGAACTCAATGAGGCGGTACTGTGTGCAAATAAATTCGCTGAAAGTTCAATAATTGATGCGTTTGCCTTTTGGCCTTTGGCATTTGTGATTATTTGTTCAATTTTTTTCGCTTGTGTCTCAATAATGTGTTAATCCTTTTGAGGCTTCAGTTTCGTTTTTAATTAAGGCATTTGTTTGGATTTTTTTTGGAGGGGCTCCAATTGAATAGCCTCGAGGATTAAAGGTAACAGGGATTAATTGAAATTGAGTTTTATCAATGTTTGGATTTTTTATGAAAAACATACCATATTTATAATTTTTATATGGGATACTTTTTATTCCATACGTTATTAAAATATTTAAAAAATATTATTTAAAAGAACACAGTTACTTCACAAGACTACCGTTTTTTTTTTAGTACAATGGTTACCATTTTTTTAATATCAGTGAGCTTTGATTTTTGTCTTAGATCTTTTTAAGTGAGTGCCGAGTTGCTCAATTTTATATTTTTATTTTCTTAAAAACAAAAACTTCGTAAAAAGTATTTACAAGACAAGGTTTTATAACAATGGTTTATAGAAATGGATTTTGAGTCTGGAATTTATAAAGTAAATGCCACTATGGAAAAAAATAATCTGAAGAGTAAGGTTTTCTTTCCTAAGGGAAAACCTTGTTTTGTATTTTCATTTCGATTTCTTTACTTATTGGATCTCTTTTCTCTATGGACTCTTACTATTTCATCAGACGTCTTAACTTCCTCCTTAGTTTCTTACTAATTCTTTTTCCTATTTCACCTTCCAGTTACCGCCCGCCAACAACTTATCCCAGTGATGCAACAACTCTGAAACTCTGTTTACCCTTCCACCCATCAAATAAATAAACTAAAGATCCTTCTTTCAAGATGACCGATAACCGGAGTCCCTACAAAAACAACATAAGCAACAATAATAATAACAATAGTCATAACAATGAGCTATCCAGACTGAGGTTGCCCGAGGAAAAGGCGGCATCGGAGCAACTGCTGCCCAAGAATGGAGCTAACGAGACCAAGAAAGAACAACCTGTCCTCCAATTTTATTCCCAAAAGCCCCTAGAATCGGCAGCACCTCCCGTGGAGAAACCAAAAAAGAAAAAGAGGCGGGACAAGAGTGATTTAGGCGAGGATTTTGTGGCGCCCGACGGTGGATGGGGTTGGCTGGTGGCCGTTGCCAGCGGTGTTAACATTGTTAGTACTTCAAGACTTATCTAAATATGATATCTATAATAAAAATATGTAAATATTTCCGATCCCCAGCTGGTAACATTCGCTTTGGCTCAGCAGTTTGGCATCCTGTTCCGGGATCGTATGGCAGATCTTGGCATTTCCAGTTCCGAACTGACAACCATTATTAATACACAAATAGCTGTATCTGCATTTACGGGTAAGAAATCTATACCTAAATGTTCTATGGAAAGTCTATAATAAAAAGTACATATACAGTCTCGAATATAGAAGACCCATTGAAACATTTTTGGCACTGGTTTGTGGAGGAATTCTCAAAATGTGCCATTACTGCATTTATATTTAGATGCATTTCAGTTCTTGGCCAGGTTGTTTGTCAACAAACAAGAAATTCCCAGAGATCAGAGATCTATAATGATTATACTAGGGTTTCGACCACAAAAACGTATAATTTTAAATATTGAAGTGGAAATCTTGTTTTGTTTGGCAATCCTGAAACAAGAACCACGAAAAATGGCAATCCTTTATATCCAGGATTTCTGGATTAATTGCTTTACCTAGGCAAGGCCACACTATTTACAGGCCCTCAGATTTCCTTACAGATTGAGGCTAAAATAGTTTCATTCGTCTTTGGGCCTGCGCCCAGTTCAGACCCAAAACCCTCTCTTATTTTCTGATTTTTATTTTTGAGTTTTTGTTTTCTTATTATTTTTTAATTATTGCCAATTTTTGTGTCAAAAGTATAAAAATATATATTTTGAATATTTTTATTCATTGGTATATCGAAATACAGTTCCGTTGTCTTTGCCAGTGCTTTTTTTTGCTCCGTTTTATTTTATTTTTTTATTTTATATAAATTTTTTATGTTTGGTTCATCGTACTGAAAAATTGGTGTAATCATTTTTATGGGTCTTTCTTGAAAGTTATTTTTGGATTTATTGATTTGCTGTGAATAAAATTGAAAGCCAATCTGGGTAGTTGCTTAAATTTTGTTTGTTTTAGATTTCATTTCCAAGATTCTGTCAAAAGTATAAAAATATGTACGTTGGCTAAAGGCTTTATGAATCTGCTTTTCTTATTTTTTTATAATATTTTTATTCATTTATATTCAGTCCGTCTTATTATTTATTTATTTTTTTTTATTTCTATTAATCTGCTTTGCATTTTTTTTCTCTAACCAATTTTTTATGTTTGGTTTATTGTGCTGCAATTTACTTTCTTTATTGGCTTCGATTTTATTTTTAAATTATTTTTGGATTTATTGATTTGCCGGTAATGAAATTGAAAGCCAATCTGGGTGGTTGCTAATTTTTTTTGTTGTATTTCTTAATATATGCTTTGGAACTTACAATTGGTGCATACTCCTAGACGGGACTGTACGTTAGGCATTTTTTATATATAATATTATTTGATGGTTTTTAAATTATTATCTATTTATTTTTTAAATAAAAATAGATGCAGTGGTACTTTGGTACCCGTAATTGTGGTCACGTGGTCTATGTACCTGCGAGCCATTTTATTTTTTGCAAGTGATTATTATTTGTTTATTTGTTATGAATCTGATTTGCTTCTTTGTTTTTTAATTAATTTTTTTTTTGGGTGTATTGAAGTTAAGAAATGGAAAGCACCCTTCATCGATTTAATTGTAATATTTATACTTCATTTTCCATTACGGCAAAATGATTTTTGAACTTCCGAGCCAGTATTCGTTGGTAGCGAAACAACCCGGTTGAGCCTTATTTTCTTTTTTTTTTATCTTTGGCTTTCAATTATGAATTTAGTTGACCTGTAAAGCTTAAATTCTAAAATTGTAATATTGAATTTGTAATTTTTTAAGTTTAAGGTACTCTGCTGGAGAATCGAATCAGGATTGTGGAAGATATAGCCATTACTGTGGGCCATAAGGGAAAACCCCATTTTCAAGGGAAAATTCCATTACGAAAAATGGACAAAAAATCTAAAAAATATTTTGTCTTAGGATTTTGATGCAGAATGGTGGGGAATCGATCCAGAAACCGTTAAAGGTACTTCGCTGAAAAATCGAATGAAAATTGGGAAAGATATAGCCATCATTGTCGGCCATATAGAGGAAAACCACATATGCAAGGGATCCCATCACGAAAAATGGAAAAAAATCTAAAAAATATGTAGTCTCAAGATTTGTATGCAGAATGGTGGAGAATTAATCCAGAAATCGTTTAAGGTACTCCGCTGAGGATTCGGATGAGAATTTGGGAAGATATAGCCATCCCAGTGGGCCCTATAGGGGAAAACACCATTTTCAAGGGATCCCATCATAAAAAATGGACAAAAAATCTAAAAAATATTTTGTCTCTAGATTTTGATGCAAAATAATGGAGAATCGATTCACAAATCGTTTAAGGTACTCCGCTGGAGATTCGGATGAGAATTTGGGAAGATATAGCCATCCCAGTGGGCTCTATAGGGGCAAACACCATTTTCAAGGGATCCCATCTTAAAAAATGGACAAAAAATCTAAAAAATATTTAGTCTCAGGATTTTGATGCAGAACAGTGGGAAATCGCTCCAGAAACCATTTAAGGTAGTCCTCTTGAGAATCGGATGAGAATTGGGGAAGATACAGTCATCACTGTGACCCTATAGGGGAAAATCTCATTTTCAAGGGATCCCACCACGAAAAATGGACAAAAAATCTAAAAAAGATTTAGTCTCAGGATTTTGATGCAAAATGGTGGGAAATCGTTTTAGGTACTCCGCTTAAGAATCGGATCAGGATTGGGGAAGATATAGCCATCACTGTGGGCCCTATAGGAAAAACCCCCATAGCCAAGGGATCCCATCACGAAAAATGGATAAAAAATCAATAAAATATTTTGTTTTAGGATTTTGACGCAGAATGTTGGGGAATCGATCCAGAAATCGTTTAAGGTACTCCGCATGACCATCGGATTAGGATTGGGGAAGATATAGCCATCATTGAGGACCCCATAGGTGAAAACCCCATTTTCACGGAATCCCATCACGAAAAATGGACAAAAAATCTACAAAATATTTAGTCTCAGGATTTTATGCAGAATGGTGGGGAATCAATCTAGAATTCTTTTAAGGTGATCCGCTTTAGAATCGGTGAGAGTTGGGGAAGATGTAGTCATTTCTGTGGGCCATTTAGGGGGCTATATTCTTTAGCTGCCATATAACTGAACTATAGAAAATTACTCTACTCTGGTGTTTTTGAAGATTGAAAGTTGGAATTTTCTACATTTTATTTTTTGGCCATATGCTCCGACCTACCTTATTTAATAACGATCGGTCGACTATATCCTATAGCTGCCATATAACTGAACAATCGGGAAAAATATTTGGTATTTGGTAAAATTACCAATTTTAGTGTTTTTGAAGATAGAAGATTGGGACTTTTATTTTTGAGTTTTTTATTCTAATAAATTTGTTTTATAATAAAATTCGAATAAGGATCGGCCTACTACATGTATGTAGGTATGTCTGATGCGACAGATCCTTTCTTCTTTTAATTGGTTTTTGAAGAATTTATTTTTAGAAGATTAAGAATATTTAAGGAAATGCATTTTTTTATTCTTTATTTGTTTACTTCCGATTTTGATTTAAAACTATACCTATTATTATTATTATTTTCTATGTTCTAATTTATTTTTTTTATAAAAATGTATCTTTATTCTTAATGAGCACTAAACCCATTTCAGTGTCAAGGCTGAGGCTCTTATTCATATTTTTGAAAAAATGTATTGTTTTTGAATTTATTTATTTTATTTCATTTCCTTAAGATTTTAAAGTTGTGGAAATAAATGTAGGGCGCATATAAAATATAAAAATGTTATTAATTTTGAAGCGGTTCCTAGGTAGCTAGGACTTTGGGCGGGTTTTCGTGTTTGTCCTCCTCTTTCGGATTTATTTTTTAATTATTTTCATTCATTTTCTAATCACTTGTTCTTAATTATTTTGTAGGCCTTCTCAATGGCCCTCTATTCCGACGCTACACCTACCGCGTGGTGGCCCTCTGGGGCTCCGTCCTTACCTTCGTAGGCCTCTTCTGGATGGTCTTCGCCGCCTCCTTCACCGTCTACCTGCTCAGCTTCTCGATCATCTACGGCTTCGGGCGGGGACTGACGGTGTCCGCCTCCTCGCTGGCGGTCAACACCTACTTCAAGGTCAAGCGCAGGACGGCCACCGCCTACCAGTTCGGTGTAGCCGGCCTGGGCCCGATAGTGTGCCCATACTTCGCGACGTACATGCTGCAGGTGTTCGACGTGCAAGGAACGACCCTGCTCTTCGCGGGCGCATCCCTGCACACGATTGCCTGCTCCCTGATCTACCAGCCGGTCAAGTGGCATGTCGTGAAGCGGGATCGCGATGCGGAGGCACTGCAGCCGGCCCAGCCGCTGGCGGAGAAGGAGGACCAGGACGAGGACATCATTAAGAACGTGGTGGAGCCGGAAACGCCGGTCCTGCCGCGCGCCAACGACGGCTGGTTCGGTTCGAGGGCCTCGCTGAACAGTGCCGGGACCCGAAACCGGGTCAACACCTGGGACAAGAGCGACGCCAAAAACGGTCACATCGAGCTGAAGCGGATGACCAGCAAGGACTCGTCGGGACCGGGACGCCAGCAGAGGAGCATTTCGGTGAGCCACAGCATCAAAGAGGAGGAGGCACTGGGCTACGAGTCGGATGTGGAGACGCATCCCAACATCGGCCAGCTGACGGAGAAGGAGAAGCAGGAGCTGGAGGACGAGGAGGAGCGACAGCGCAGGAAAAAGCTGCCCTTCTACATGAAAGTGGTTGTATTCTTTGATCTGGACCTGCTACGGGACATCACCTACGTGAACCTGGCCGTGGGCATCACCCTAATAAACTTTGTGGAGATTAACTTTGCCATCCTGACACCGTTTATACTCTCCGATTTGGGCTTCAAGTCCGACCAGATAGCTCTGGCCATGTCCACGCTGGGCTTCTTCGATCTGGTGGTGCGTTTCCTCATTCCGCTGATCACCGCCAAGATCAATCTGAGCAATCGCACCTTCTTCGTGGTGGGTATTCTGGGCATGTGCATCGGCAGGATGTTCCTCTCGATGACTACCAACTTCTACGCGATGGTCGGGATCTTCCTCTGGCTGGGTCTGAACAAGGCCTTCCGTACCGTCTTCTGGTCCCTGATTATTCCCAGCTATGTACCGCTGAAGCGTTTGCCGGCAGCCGCGGGTCTCCAGCTCCTCATGTCGGGCACCTTCTCGATGGTTTTTGGACCTCTGATTGGTGAGTTTCTACCTTATAGGACATAGGTGTCCGCCTAATAGAGGACCGGACATCTTTGAATTAAAAAATACCCTCCTGTCCGACTAAGGGAGGAAATGTCCGATATGTCCGCTTAAGAGAAGGGCGTACAAATTCAAAGAATCTTTAAAAAAAAACCATGACTACTACTTTCGAATTACCGCCTAAGGGTTTAAAGTTTAAACGGTAACTCATCAAGTCTTCCTAGCCATTAATCGATAAAATCCTAAAAAAGTGTGACCCTCTTGCTTAGGGATTTCAGGATCTTTTTCTGAGAGTTTAAATGCCACACTCTAAATGCCAAAAAGTTGTCCTGGTGAAGTTCGTTTCACATTTTAGTCATTCAGAGCTTGGCAGCCAAACGAGCCAGTTCTATCATCCATTATTTTGTTTATTTTATTTTTTTTAAATAATATTTATTATGAACTAAATGCTATGGGTTTTAGTATCTAACTTCTTTTCCAGTTTGTTTATTTTTTTTAATATTTATTATGAACTAAATGCTATGGGTTTTGGTACTTAACTTCTTCTCCAGTTTTCATGCGTTTCGTCTTATTTGCATTTGTTTTTTATTTTATTTAAATTTTTTAAAAGAAAAAAAAAAACAGATTAGGGCATAAACATCCAAAGTTGAATTCTTCATTTTGTTTATTTTTTTTTATTTTAAATAATATTTATTTTGAACTAATATAATATATTGAAAATTAATTTAAATGCTATGGGGTTTTGAGTATTAACCTTCTTCTGCAGTTTTCATGCGTTTCGTCTTATTTGCATTCATTTTTTATTTTAATTAAATTTTTTAAAAGAATACCTTTGAGACCCATAAGCATTTCGTTCAGCAAGGTTTTGTGTTCTTTTTTTTTCACTGATAATTATTATAATTACAATATTTTCTAGGGCATAATCATCCAAAGTTGCTTCCTTCATTTTGTTTATTTTATTTTTATTTAACTATAATGATATTATGAATTAATATAATATATTACAAATTAAATTAAATGCTATCGGGTTGTTGAATCCTCATCCTCCTCGTTGGATTTTCATGCGTTTTGTCTTAGTTGCATTAATTTTTCATTTTAATATAATTTTTTAAAATAAGACCTTTGAGACCCTTAAGCATTTTGTTCAGCAAGGATTTGTGTTCTTATTTTTATTATTTTTTTTGTTGTCACTGATAATTATTCTAAATTACAATATTTTTTATGGCATAAACATCCAGGGTTGAAAAATCTTCCCTTTTTGGGCGGGTTTCTTGCTTTTTTCTTATTTTTGAAGATAGAAGCTTGGGACTTTTTTTATGCTTTATTGTAATAAATTGGTTATATTATGATATTCTCATAAGAATCGACCAACCGATGTTTCCGGTTTATACTGCAAGGGTATATCAACTTCGGCTTTGCCCGAAGTTAGCTTTTCTTTCTTGTTTTTGTTATTGTTCATAGTCAGTGATTGATTTCTTCTAAAAATAAAAATTAAAATGTATTTTAATTATTACAGGCCTGATCAGAGATCACACCAGCTACGCGGTGACCCTTAACATTTTGAATGCCCTCTGTATCATAGCCTTCGTGGGCTGGTACTTGGAGGACTTTATCCGGGCTCGCACCCGAAAGTCGGCTGCTGTGAAGGAGCTTAACTAATTCCACTGGATGGCCCACCTAACTAGTCTCGTACTCAGTGCCTTTGGTTCCAAGACAACAAAAAATAACAAAACACAAAACTTGAAGTAACAAAAACAAACCAAACTCCATCCTAACTCTAGCAAATTGTTCATGTTATGGCATACTTTTTCCAAATGTTTTTTTTTTACTCTGTATGTTTATTGTAAATTATATACTGCGTGTACATTGTGTATATACTATTTTTTTGACTGTAGCCAATTATTTGTATTAAATATTATTGATAATTGTTAAAAAAATATAAAAAAAAAAAAACAATTATATATAAGATTTTAAAAAATAAGCAATGGACTGTTTTTTATTGGTATGTGGAGGACTGGTATCTTAGGGGTAATTATATCTTTATTTTGGCTATTAAATTGTTTTAAAATCATATCAATTTTCATTATGATTTGCACAAAACAGGGACTGCACACTTATTATTATTTAATTATCATCGAATAGATAATCAAAAACACCTCGAAATACACAAGAAGAAAAATACTTCACAAATTCAGTTTTATGAGCTCTACCACATTTTCGTTTATATTTATTTATTTTTTTGTTTTATTGTTTTGGATTATGTTTTTAATATCTTTTAAAGGGAGAGGCTTTCATTCGTTTAAAATTATTACTTTATTTACTCAATGGGGCGTATACGTGACATAGTGCAGAATATTTTGGAATTGGGGTAATGGAGATAACACAGTGCGACAGTGATTTTGAACTTTTGAAGGGAACCTAATCGAAATTGCTCATTAGGTCGAATATAGTACAAAACCGTGTTGAAAATAATTCCCTTAATAACATCCTTAAATAATTAGAATTATTTATAAAAAACGGTTTATTGGGTTTCGTTTTTTTTTTAGTTTGCTCTAAAATTTCCTAAATGCGTAATTTTAGGCCGATTTTAAAATTTTTTCAATAGTTTTTCAATAGTCAAATGTTGTAGCTTTAAAAAAAAATAGATCTTCAATTAAGTATAATTTAGTATCAATATAAGCTATTCTAACTATTTTCCAAAACGAGCTAGAAACTAAAAATAGTCAAAATATTACTCTGATTACATAATTATTTCCTTAAAATACTTAACATTTTAAAATTATTATAAATATTTATTAATTATTATATATAACAACTACAAAAATATTTAATCACAGTAGACTTCAAATCTAGAAAAAATTATGCACAAAAGCATTATTTTTAATTTATGGCATTTCTTGATAAGATATCGCAACTAAGTGATAGTAAATTTCTTGATTACTTATTTTTAAAATAAATCTATTTTTGGGGAAATCATTGTTGCAACAGCAAATAAAAATGCCAAGTGTATGCAAAGTGTATCTGTATCTCAATTATGTATCCGCACCCGTACCCGTACCCGTATCTGTATCTAAGCGCGGTTTGGCATTCGAAATGGCAAGTCATTGTCATGTTGGCTCATCGCCGCCGGTGGATGTGTCATGACATGGCCGGTAATTGGATAGCTTTGGGGGCTATAGGGGCTATGGAGGCTATGCTATGGCTATCACCGAATGGCTTGCAACTGAGCCAAGTGTGTGACAATGTGGCGAAATTATCTGGTAGACCCCCAGAAACTGAGAAACTCCGAACCTCAAAGAGGTTCCCTTCCTTGGTTGGATGCTAAGGGAACCGGTTAACGCCACTGAACTCGGTCAATAAACTAACCACAAATATGTTGATGCCAAAACTTTAAGACAGCAGCGATTCTCGTAAAAAAAAAGGAAAGAGAAAATATGCAGCACATGTTGCTGCATTTTGTGAATATTTGCATAAATGCTTGACAAAAGGTGGAGATATCTTTTCGAAATTCCAGGAATAAATGTTTAAGAAACTTGCTAGAGCAAAGATTCTCATTCTTAAAATTAATGCCTTCCAGTTCATAAAGTATATCAATTAATTGTGTTTGTTTAACGAATCTATATATTTTTTTTGTGCAATTCATGAGCTCTCATGATGAGCTGTGACTTATTGAGACACAGACACCCGGAGACACAGTGCCTATAATTTTATTTCATCACAGTCCCCGATAAGGCATCTCAATAAATACGCTTTTCATTGTAAACAAAATGAACATTTTTGCATTTTCAAGGCCAATCAAGTAAACGAATGACGTATTTTTTTGTCAAAAACTTAATCATCAAGTGATAACAACAATTAAAACTTTCAAGTCAATACTTCCGTTAGAGATTTTGGCCAAAAGACAAGCCAAAAACGTGGCTAAAAATTAATAATTTGATAATTGAATTGATTGCAGCCCCTGACAGGTGACGATACCTTCTTCGCCATTCAAAGACTGTCAAAGCAATTATTAGCAGCAATTAAACGACAATTTGCAAGTGTGACTCAACTATTGCCCTTTTTCTGCCACAATCACGATTCCTGGCAACTAAAAATTGTTTGACTAATTATTTTACCATTTTTTGTACTTTTTTTTAACCTCCAAGTGACGCATTTCTTCATGAATAGTGCAAAGTTTTTTTTCACAAGCACCCCCTTCACAAATTACGGTTGTAAATATTTAATGTCTGAGAAATTCTCAGCAAGTGCCAAGTTTTTCTGTTTCATTCTTTTTTTTATTATCTTTAGGCCGGGTTATGACAGTAATAACTTTATCGCACTGTTTTTTTTCACTCTTATTTATGGCCTTTAGTGGTTTTTTTGGGGGAATCCGTCAGTTGCAGAAGATTAAAATTTAAAAATCTTAGCAAATATTTTCTTAAGGCTAATTTTCTTTAGTTTTTTTCTGTGGACAACCGAAGTAAAAGTTTCCGTTTTAGTTTCCGAAACTATGTGCGGCTTGTCTAGTTGTTTTTTTAATTAAAAGAGGTGAGGGAAGAGGGCTTTGGGGCTCTGACTATGTCATTTGACAGACAACACACCCAAAGTATTCAAGGGGAACATGAAAAACTGTTTTCATGGTACTGGTGGGTAATTTATATTTGACAATTTGCAGTTAAATGTGTCACAACAATGTTAATTTCAATTTAATAGTAGGGTTAAGAAATATATTAATAAAATCCGCTTGTTACCAGAGAAGGTGATTATTTTGGTCTCGAAATGGTCAAGGCATTAGCTCTTTCAGTTTAGATCTATGTTGGATTTCTAGGATATAGGTTAAGTGGAAAGCAACGAACTCGTTGTGAAAGTATACATTTTTTTTCTAAGTTTTTGTATAATTTTAGGAATAAAGTTTGAACTTAATGCAAACATTTTCTGGTTTATCCAACTTCTAGACTTAGAGTTCAAGCCTGGAAGAAATTGTTTTAACAATTTTTTTAAATTGTTAAAATTAGTTAAATTTCTTGGATTAAAGTTGAAACTCATTGTTAAATAAAAAATATATTTGATTAAACTTTTTTGTTTTTGTAAGATTCTAAGAATAGTGTTGCAACTTCTTATGGCAATTGTTTCTAAGTCTAAGTTCATATTTATTAGGTTTCTCCCATTTCTAGACTTAGAGTTCGAATTCTATATTACAAATATTTTTCTGGTAAATATCCAGGTACAGAGTTCAAACCTGTAATTAGTTTTAGGTTTATCCCAAGTATACTGTTCAAACTTTCTATAGCCACTATTTCCTACTTATATAATATTTTTGTTCCTACCATCTAAGTACATTGCTAAGATAATGAAACTTTGCACCCTCTTGACTTACTTTTCGATAAGTGTATACGTATTGCTTTCTTTTCCCTTTAGGTCTAACCCTCAAATAGTTGAAATTCTTCTTCATTAATAAGTAGTTTTAGCTTGAACCGTTTCCCGAGAATTTCGACACTCGACGAAATTGATTTCTTTACGTAATTGTAATCTATGTTTTTCCTTCACTTGATTTACTATCTTTGATTGTTTCTGTCGTTTATCAGAAATGTCGTTTTGTGATTCGAATGATTCGAATTGAAGTTCAACAAGTTGTTTGTTGTCGCTGTCTCATTACCGACAATACCTTTACCGTTATACGACTCATAGATGGTCTACAAAAAAATAAAAGCTTTATTTACAAATACATATCGAGATATTAACAGGTTTATCAACGATAATCGATAATTATTTGGGAAAGCAAGAAGAACTTTCGCTACACAATTAGTTGAAATAATATTATTTCCTAATCCCAGAACAAATCAAAACAGAGACTGACTTTAGCCCTCTTTTTTATGGCTCCCTAAAAAAAAATAATAAAAGCAAAACTTCAAAGGCAAATTAAAACAAATAACAAAAAGCACGCAAACGGAACACAAAAATAAAAACGGGGAACGGCACAGATACAAAGATACGAAGATAAAAAACGAGTATTTGTTGTTATTTTTTTTCGTATTTTTTCAAAATCAAGAACGACAACACTAACAACAATACTGGCAAAAAGTTGCTCAGTCATTGGGGATCGTCAATAAAAAATAGAATAAAAAATTAAGCAAATTCGAACTCGCTTTTCCATCCCTCATGTCGAGCTCCGAATGAAATGATAATTTGCCAGATTTCCATACGCATGTAGAAGATAGTATTTTATATAATACCTCTATATCTGCTATATAGAGAGGGATATTTAAAAATATGTATAACAATTCTGACATAATAACAGGGAACACATAGGTTACGATTTGTTTGCCGTTGGTTGGAAACATTGTAATTACTTTTGCCAACAGTTGGCGGAGACTAACGAAATGCGATTTCGATTTCGATTCTCATGCCGACATATGTACATATTTGTTGATATTTTTACGTCCATTCCCATTCCGAATAGGCAACCGCAACGTAACCACCTGTTGTGTGTGGGGTAGCAGGATGGGGCTACCTGGAGAGAGTGGGAAAGCTTAATGCTCTTACAAAGTCACCAAGATAGCACTTTAGAAAAATTAAGTGAGTTCTATGGTTAAAAGGTAAGATATACATGGGAGTATTTGTAGTACGTAGAGGGACCAGTATGCAAATGACTTCAGAAAGTCTGACCATCTGCTAAAAATATTCATGATATTCTTAAAGGAGAGCAAAATAAGGAACACATTTTAAAGATCAATTGAATTTTATGAGGTACATACATAAGGTAAACTATAGAATATGGCTTTAATTATATATAAGTGTGACCAGGACTTAAACAAATGCGTAGTATGACATTAGTAAATGCGGAAAAAAATATTGAAGATTTTGATACAAAAAAAGCAAAAACATTGAAGAATAATATTTGAAGTTATTGGAAAAAATTTATTGAAATAAAATACCAATAAAATAATTGAATATGAATGATCCCAATCAATAGACAACAAATATTTTCCAAAGTGTACATTTAGGCCATATAGGCCCAACTTGCCAAGAGGAGAGAGTGACGGAGAAGGGGCAAAAAATTGTCGAAAAGAAACGGTAAATTTAACCACAAAAACTTACCAAGGAGTCTTCAAGAGGGATAGAGTGGTAAGAGCTGCCCAGAAATTGGGGAGTGGGCGGCACAGTGGGACGAAACAGCTGATAAGGATGAGTCATCTTGATTAATCCGCCGACTGTTAATCGCCAAGCAACCAAGCTGATTGATGACACCGCTCACCGATCTAGCCAGATGATCGATGTCTTCTTATCAGTTGATTTATGACCAGTTGGTGCTTGAAAAACAAGAAACAGGTAAGGCCCGTTTACATAATTACTTTATTGCCGCCCTTAATCCTGCGAGAAAAAAAAGGATCCTGGAAATTTTCCGGGGAAACTAATTTTCTTTAATTTTTATTAGGCAACATTTTTATGAGCGGTTAACCATTTTTTGACTGGGGAATCCTAAAAAAATACACGTAAAAAAATTATGTTTTTGAAAATTTTATTTAAACACATTTTTTTGTTGAAAATTTTATTTTAAACTGTGAGATTGAAAAAAAAAGTTTACATAAACTAGACATATTAATATTTAACACAAAATATACTTTCAATTTCTCAAATTTCTTTCAATTTTTGTTGTTCTCAGTGTAGCCATTATACTAGCTGACCAATTAGTAACTGCCGTCTACCTGTAGCGCGACCTTTGAACTTTCTGTGTGGCCAGCAAGGTAGCAACAGTTGGTCAACGGCACTTAAATTATAGAATCACTGTTTTTACCACCCCTTCGACCTTCTACCTCCTCCTACTACTTGTCTCCCTGGCACTCTCTCTCTCTTCCTCTGACAATTGTCTCTCTGGTGATTTGGTTTTGCCGGTTTCTCTTCCGGTGATCTTTGGTGATCTCTCTCCGCCGGCCTGGTATTTGTCGTCGTCACGATGAGCTGGTTGTTAACAAATCTCTGCTGCCCACTGTTGAGCCCGGTTTCTAACGAGAGATACTTGAATTCAAAGAGCTGTTGAGAGACAGAGCCATCTAGACACACGGAGAGGGTGTGGAAGCGGGAGGCTCACAGCCCGAGAGAGAGGGAGAGAAAGTGGGGCTAGAGAGGGAAAGAGGGCAGCACAGCTTCCACTTGACCAGTGCTAATTGCCATGGCTAAATGGTCCTCAGCTGCTCTTCTGCAGGTTCGGTCACTTATGCTGCTTCTGCCGGTGCTGCAGCGGCACTTACAACGTCGTGCATCGGGTAATCCTGCTACCAATTAGTGCTGGCAAAGTTGGCTATAATATTATGGCTAAATTATGGCTAGATTTTTTATAAGTTTTCAAACTATTTTGAAAATGGATAATATTTGTGAATACATAATTATTGTACGTTATATTTAAATTAACTTTTGAAATTTTGGAATTTTTCTGCATTTTTATTAACTTTGAAATAAATTTATTAACTTGTTATACATTTATTAAAAAATTTTCAATTCCTTCCCATTATTTCGTCAAAGCCATATTGTTTGGAAAAAATGTATTGCCTAGCTTAGAGGGCATGCATCTTGTAGCATAACTGTCATTCATACGCATTTCCGTTCAAATAATATTTTTGTTGCCTACTTCATAGGGCATTTATACCTCAAAAACCTAATTTGTAATGAAAATATATATTTGAAAATTAATAATAATTTAAAATAACTATTAATTATAAAAAAATATGTACTAACTTTTTAGAAATGTACCTCACAATATTTTGTATAATAAATTTTTTTAATCAAAAATTTTTTAATCTAATTTGAAGGAAGGATTTTTTTAGATTTAATTTTTAATATTTAATATAACATTATTTTAGCATTGAAAATATTTCGCCAACACTGCCGGCCCACGCACTGAACAAAACATGAAAACAAAAACAAAACAAAATACACAAACAGAGCAACAGGCGAGGCGGCGGCGTTCGCTATCTTTCTCGGCCTCACTCTCCTGCCGCACTCTCTCCACTCTCACCCAATGCCTTTTCCACTCCCACTTCTCACTGGCACGCTCGTACACACTGGTACACTCGCATGCTTGCACTCCCACTCCCACTGCCAACAATGCCACTGGAGTGAGGGGGAACTACACACTGGCCACCAGTTGTACACTTCTTACTGCCACTCTCGGCCGCTCTCGCTCGCTCCGCCGCGCTGCCAACGAGAAATGCTATAAAGCAGAGTGGCACCATTGACGCCAGCAAGTCGCTTGCTGGCCGCGAAACAGCCAACATATCAAAATACCGCCTACCGAGCACCTCCCCAAGCGCCGCACCACCCACCAGCCAACCGAGCCAAGCCAAGCCAAGCCATACCAATATCCGTCCGTCGTCAGAACACGGAACATACAGTGTTTTTAGTGCCGAAGTCCGAGCCAAAAGGTGCCCGTAGCCCGCTGTCCGTCGCCCGCCCTTAACCGAAACCGAAACGTGACGAAAGCCGAGTCAAGCCGAACCGAATCACGCCGAAACACCCGAATGGTTGTTGTTAACACAACGCACAACAATAACACAAATAACAGCACCGAACAGAATTATTACCATTCGAACAGCTGAGCCGCCAAGTTGTATCTTCTAGATAGTATCTCAATCCGAGCACCTCAAGTATCTCATTCTTTATCAAAATCTGAGTGTGCAACGAGTTGCATCTTCTTGTGGTTGTTGCTTTTTTTTTTTTTGTTGTTTCCTGTGCCAACACAAAACCCAGAAAGTGTCAAAATTAGCGGGCCATTCATTCAGCATTATTGGCCGGAGAAGTGATAACAAACAGTTCCAACTCTAAACATCAAACATCTAAACGTAAGTCCCATATTGAGAAGTGAAGATGAAAGTACATATTAAGTGCACTGATCGAAAAACTTAAGCTAAGAATGTTAAGAATATTCAAATACAAGAGAGTTTTGAAATAAAGGTTTTTGACAAATGGTTTTCTTTAAAAATACAAATAAAATAGTTCTTTAATGTTGTTAAACTGTTGTTTAAGTTTAAATGTGTAAAGTTTAGACTATTAAGATTCTAAATTTATTTAATCGCAGATTTAGAAAATGGTATATTTTAAAATAAAAGAGTCTGCGTTTCTTTGGAATATTTTAATGTTCGTTCGCTCGTTTAATGTTGTGATTTTGGGAAATATTGAGAATTTTAAAAAGATCTATTATCAAATAAAAGAAGACGTCCATTATTGAAAAAGTGTTTGTCTTTGGATTAAAAATGTCTCTGAAATTTTTAAAACTAATTTTTAAACTGTTTTGAAGTTGTTTTGTTAAAAAAAATGTTAAATTCTAACAAGTATATAAGAACATTTACCAAAAGACTTCTTTTCTTAACTAACAATTTGTATGAAATGTTTAAAACTCATTTTTAAATCCATTTTGAGTTTTGTTTTTGAAAAAAGACTGTGAAGATATATGCAAAATGTAAATATCACAATATATGTATGTATACCGGTATTCAAAAAATAAAAGACGTTACAGATTTTAAAACATGTTACAGACTTATTTTCGGTCATGTTTGAATAAAAATGTTAATTTTTTTTAAGGTTCTTAATATGTTTTAAGAGTCTAAAATGTTTTTACAAAAAAGTTTTACAAGAAAGATTGAAAGATTGTTTATAAGATTGCGAATGTTTGTTTGAAAAATCGATCCTCCAAAAGCTTTTAAAATCATAATTAACAATTTTGTAATGTACTTAAAATTATTGTAGTTCTTTTTTTAATTCTTATTCATAGTTTGAAACAAAATTAAGTTGATTAATGATCTAAAGAAACTAATAAGATAAATAAAGAGACTTAACAATTAAAATTTGTACAGTTTTAAATGAGAAACTATTGGTAGAATTTTATATAACTAACAAATAAATGTATCTTCTAAACCAATAACTAATTAAAGATTATGTATCAATATTTCTAATAAAACTTCTAAAAAGGATTCTATAATTTAAGCTGCAGAGTTTTTGTGGTGTGAAGCCCTTTTTCCGTCCATAAAATGGATGATCCGGTACCCGGTACCCGGGCACCAAATTGAGTTTCGCCAAAGGTTTCAGCATTTTCCATGTCGGTTTATTTTTATCTAACCATCGCAGGGAAACTGAAAAGCTGGAAAACAGGGAAGCTGGGAAGAGCCACGAAGGAGCTAAGAGGAGCTGCTGGGTGGAGCTGGAGAGCTGGAGAGACCGGCAGAAAATGTTTACCAAATTGAATTACACATTTTTATGATGTGATGCTATTTTTTTTCCGTCTCAGCATGGCAGGCCCCAGGTGCCTGCCGTGGACCTGTCTGGGGCGCAAGGCGATGCATGTGTACTACACTTGGGGTCTGGGGGTTCGAGTCCGTTTCAGTCTGGTTAAGGGTATGAGTATATATATATTTTTTCACTTTTTTATTTTAGAGCCGCTACGGAAACAGCAATTGACGATATGAATGCATTTAAAGAGGGGGGGGCGCCATTGGTTTGATAACTGAATCGGATTTTTGTACTTTGACTTGGATTGCTTTAAACTTTAAAGGTGATCGAGGGCTAGACACACTAAAAAAAAAACAGAGAAAAATATATATATATATATATATACAAGATAAGATAGACAAAAGTCAATTAAAAAGTAATTTTGTTTACAGAGTAGGCAGACTAAAGAAAATAAAGCAACTCAAATGGAAATAATCAGATAATAATTATAGCATTGGTTTTAAATGTAAAACAAGTCGCAGACACACACAAGTATCCTTTGAAAGCTCTTAACAGTTAAGGGGTTACATGGGTAAGCAGTTTGAAAAATTGAATTTTTTCATTAAGTAGTTAAGCTCTAGAATCTCTAGAATGTAGTCCCAAAATTGTAAATCTAACTTAAAAAGAAAGACTTTCGGAGGTAGCACCCTTCGGTTTCTTAAAAACTAATCAACTACGATCCTGATAGATTTTAAAACAAGCCTTCAAGATACATCAAAATAGTCAATCAACCAAACCCTTTTAATATTTTAAGTAAAATTATTTACAAAACAAGAAAGGAAAGCTAACTTCGGGCGGAGCCAAAGTTTATATACCCTTGCAGTTAAAACCGGATATATATCGCAAACATCGGATATAGTTGGCCGATCCTTATGGGAATAGGAATATATACTCCAATTTATTACAATACAAAATCTAAAAAAAAGTCCCAAGCTTCTATCTTCAAAAATACGAAAGTTGATATTTCTACCAAATATCATTTCCGATCGTTCAGTTATATGGCAGCTATAGGATATAGTCGGCCGATCCTAATGAAATTTGGTAGGTTGGATCAACTGACCAAAAATAGAGTCTGTACTAAATTCCAGCTTTCTATCTTCAAAAACACGAAAGTTGGGTCATTTCCGATCGTTCAGTTATATGACAGCTATAGGATATAGTCGGCCGATCCTTATGAAATTTGGCATGTCGTATTATTTTGCCAAAAATAGCTCTCACCTAAAATTTGAACTCTCTAACTCTAAAAATACCAAAGTTATACCATTTCCGATCAATCAGTTATATGGCAGCTATAGGATATAGTCGGCCGATCCGGGCCGTTCCGACTTATATACTGCGTGCAAAGGAAAGAAGGGTGTGTGCAAAGTTTCAAGACGATAGCTTTAAAACTGAGAGACTAGTTTGCGTAGAAACAGACAGACGGACAGACGGACAGACGGACAGACGGACATGCTCATATCAACTCAGGAGGTGATCCTGATCAAGAATATATATACTTTATAGGGTCGGAGATGTCTCCTTCACTGCGTTGCACACTTTTGGACAAAATTATAATACCCTCTGCAAGGGTATAATGAAATAAAGTAACTTTTTTCTTTTCAATGAAAATTATTACAAATACATATGTATACCGTTTTTTTGTCCCGCAAACTGAAGTAGCCCCTTAAATCTTGGCTTAATAGAAACTACAGAGAGCCTTCCAGAATCTACCTAGTTTTGGGCATACAGATGCCAAGTCAAAAGGAGTTTCCATAGAGATTTCCCTAAGAAAGGGGCTTTCCAGGAGGGTTTACTGTGGATTTCCATGCAAGCCTCTCTAGCTTGCACAATAGATAGAAGCTTATACCAGCCAGAGATGCTGTTTTCCTTCATTATTTCCATTATTTTTTTTCGCCCTCGAGATAACCTGTTGCAATGTGCGAGGAAATCCAAAAGCAATCAGAGAAGGCGCGAAAAAATCAACAACCATATGGGACAATGAAATGGGTAATACCCAATGGGTATTACGAAGTAGATAAAATAATATGACTCATTTAACCAAAATTATGGCCAATCATTGTGACAGAGAATATAATATATAATTTTTATGGCCAGATAAGGCGTGATTTGTTTATTTTCTTAGAGAACTCCTAAGAACTATACGTATGTGTACATGTGTCATTGGGAAGCATTACTTTTAAAAGTGATCCCTAATTCTGAAGCGAGGATCGTGTGTCAGCGTCGGCTGTCTTTTCTGACAGCACACCCACCAAGTGGAATTAGCATTTTTGGGAATTGGTTAACCAAAGTGCATTTCTGGGTTTCTGGGTTTGCCTCTTCAATTGGGTCTCTCCGGGGTATTGTATTTCAGTTGCACTTTATTTTTTATTTTCCCTTTGAAGCAAAGACACTTGTGGAATGGAGGAGAACTCCATTTCTTTAATTTTGAAGTGTACGTGAGTTTATTCCTCCAAGTCGGACTGAAAACTAAAACCTAAAGAAAAAATATATAATAATAAAAATAAAAGAAGTGCCTAGGAATGACCCTAAATGCGCATTAAGCCCGCTTTGCATAGATCGGGCTTGACATTGCCAGTGATTTCCATTCTACAAACATATATGTATATGCCTGTATGGAGATACTTCTATAGACCCCACACCCATTCCAAAATCGTAGACAACACACATGTGAGAATGTGCCGGGTGTTGGGATTATTTTGTGGCCGGAGGGCAATAACAATCACTCGAAATGTGCACCTAAAAATAGCCATTGCCGTTGGTGGAACACGTTGCTCATAATCTCGGATGCAATTGAGTGCCGCACTGCCACTGCCACTGCCCCATCCCCTACCTCTGCCACTGACAGAGCAACTGCCACAAAAGCCAGACCATCCATCTACTAAATATATTATATCCGAGCTATCCCCCAAACACCATGAATGAGATAATCTTTGTCCAGGCCCACTGGTGTATAAATAGGCCTATTTGTAGGCCCTCTCTATGGAAGCCAAGCATGACGGTCTAAAACATGGTATTATAACAATGCAAAATAGTAAAAAAAGAATAAAAGTAAGGTTTTAAAATTTTTAGTAAATAGATTAAAAAACCAAAGTTTTGGTTTTCGGTATTTGTTTATTTTGGATCTTAAATTGTTGAACTTTATAGATCTTATAAGGGATAAGAGATCTAAGCCCATATATAAAATAATAAATTTAAAACTAAAATTCCTGAAATTCCTGAAAAGTTTCCTTAAACTTTAAGATTTTGATTCTTGTAAATAAAATGTATTTAAAAATAGGTAAAAAATTGGATTGGAAATATACTGAAGTATAAGATATATACTAGTTCAAGTTTCCTTAAAAAAAAAGACCATCTACTTCTTGCCAATGTGAACCATTGTTTACTTTAACGAATTACACCTGTAAGCCGTCTGAAGACCTGTAAGATATCTCCCAACTCTCAAGCGTGGGCCATTTATTTATTAGCCACTAAAAAGACAAAAAGCCAGGCGCCAAGCTAAGAAGAGGCTGTGCCATTTTTTCTTTCTATAAAATCAAAAAAAAACCTCAATGAAGATAAAGAGTCTATAAGAAATAAG